GACAGAGCGCTGCACGCAGAACAATGAACTACTAAAAGATAGTCTATTATTCTACTATGCATTACCACAAAATTTTCTCTTTTCACGTTGTGTATTTTATCCTTCTATTGCAAGGCAATAATGCTCGGTAGATAAGCGTACTCAATCAAGCGTGTTACTTTCTATTTGTCGTATATATTCATAGATTGATTCATTCATAGTCAATCAAATTAAAAGCAACATGTGCGCGCAGGTTAAAACGAGTGATACTCAACCGTTGCTATCTAAAGTCAATTCTTCGTCGAACAATTATGAAGGATCTGATAAGAAATCTCGATCGACCAGCAGGTAATAGATAAGTGATGTTTGTATGCCTAAACAATGATGTACCATCTCTTCATAGAATCGCGGACTGGTTTCGAAGTCTCATTAGTGGAGATTCAATTGATGATAACAGAAAACATCATGGCAAGGATTATGGTAGCAATGAATCGGCGGTTGGCTTGTTTCAATTAGTAAGTGTAATTATTCGAACAAGGAACATATGCTATGTTTACAGTAGCATTTTATGCATGAGGAAATTTTTTGTATGCAAAAGTCAGTCTACGCAAAAATGGCATTTTTCCATGCATATATAAGATGTGTGCACTAGAACAGCCACTCATGCATATTTATGTCTGATGAAAGACCAAAATCTATGATAAACACTACTTTTCCTCAATGGAGACACCAGTCGTAATTCGCTTTATCAAAAAGTCGCGCCGTTCTAGTACCATCGATATAATTCGATACTAAGATACTGTAATTCCTTCTTTGAAATAGATGGAAATCAATTAGAATAGGTGCAAATATGCAATTCAATTTTTTTCTCTTTTAGTTATCACTATTCTAAGAAAAAAGTTTTCTGAGTTCTATTTCACATACCATCATTTCTCGTTGCCTTTTCACATTCATATTAATGTTACGAGTACATGTCTGACGGACAAATTTTCAACAAACATGAATTTACATTGTCGAAGTGTATTTCGTTGTATTTAGTATTAAATCGATTCTCGATTTTTACTATGACTAGTTTCTCTCATTTAAATGCATGAATCAGATGTTTGACAGATCAGTCGGCGATCTTGATTCTTTCAATGAAGGCATCACTTCTCTCTGAAGTATCATTTACGCAGACTTTTTTAATTTGCATGCGTTGTCTTTATCGAACTCTTCTCACTCCAAGAGTAAGATTGAAATTGAGAGAATAAATTTGCTTGTTCGAAACAATTGATAATAATCACATAGATGATAGTGACTATTGCTGAATATTGAACAATGAGTAAGTTGTTTGAGATTAGCAAAACTAAGGTCTATACGATGAAGGAAAAGTCTATATGAGATGAAGTCGCTTATTTTGCCAATGGCTTCATACAAGTATCAACGAAAAGTGAATCTGCAAGTAATTATGAACAGTGATCTGAACTGATGGCACTCTCTTCAGTTCTTTTTTTGTATCATTGTCAGTAAATAGAACGAAAGAAAACCAAAAGAAATTTCGAGTTATTTTCTAACCCTATATTATGACAAATCTTTGTTGGAAACAATAGGAAATGTTCATGATGTACGTGTGCTTCATGACAATGCTCTTTTTGCTAAAATCTTCTTTAGAAACATGTGAGATCTTTCAGTTATATACACTCATCGGCCATCTCAGTGCTAATACATACATAAATATATGCACACTTGCATGATTTGCTAATGTAAACATCAATATGCTGCGTAGAAATGTTTCAGAGAAAGACCAGTGATGGACTTTCACAAAAAGCTTGAGTGAAACAATTTTCTAACTCGTAGTTCCTAACCGAAAAATTTTCCAGAATGGACTCTTCGTCTTCCTCGGTACACCACTGGTTAACATGGTTATACTATTGATTTGAATTCCCTATCTTTTGTCTTTTTTTTAAACTTAGTTTCGTTTCGCCGATCGAACTGATTACGTAATGTTAAGCATCGGCCTTATTGGTTCTCTACTGTATGGCTTTAATTTTATTGCATATGTCGTCCTTTTTGGTCGGGCCACGGGTACATTTGCCTTGCAATCATTTGTCGGTATTTTCGAACAGCAATTGCAGAACTTATCTGCAAATATTAGTAGAGAACTATGTCCACTTGGTATTGAACTCACTCCCTTTAACTACGATCGAATGCACAAGTAAGTTAAGCAAAAGTACAAGTGTTCTTATCCATGCCGAGAAGAATTACAATTCAACGATATGATCTGTTATATCTAATAAAATCATCCCCAAGTGAAAATAAATAACAGTGAATAAAAAAAAAATACAAAAGCATTTCTCTAAGAAACCAGATTGATTTCAGATCTCGATTTTTCTGTGCTATTCTTCCGATATATTTTTCTCCTAAAATTTCAGTTTCAAGAGACACTATAAGACCACGTTAAAACTGATGCATTCGACGATAGAACTTATTTTTGACAAAGTTTGCAATTCTTAAAGCTATTTTCCCCATTAGTGCCATGGATATTACAATATATCGAACATTTTCATCTTCACATATCTACAAAAAAAAAGAGACAAAATCTGTAAATATGTTTCTATGGTCATTTTAGACCCCTAAAAAACAAAAACAGTAGTCAGTATTATAGCTTCTTGTGGCACTCGAAATGGACTCTTTGAGAAAAACAGTTCTACTATTCGATAGAAGTTGGAATTCTCTATCATCCTATATAAATGACTTTTGCCTTTCATTATTAAAATTAGGAATATTAATTTGGCAACAACGAAAATTCACTATTTTTGAACTTTCTCTCAATTGATGCTTACTATGATAATAAATATTTATTAAGAGAATTATCGATTCTTATCATCTTTATCAGCCTCTATCACTCTATACGTTTCTATCTTATCTTCAATGTATATACTGAAGACTAAGTCTATTAATCAATGGGTGACTTGTTAGATAGACTCTAGCAAACGAGTTTTTTTTTACTACAACTTATGCTTTATTTAACATTTCTTTGCAATAAAAGCAAATGTTTTCAGAGAAATAATTATATATTCTAATAATCGTTAACATTTTCGGTCATCTTCCAATTTCGGAACTGTAAAAATCCTATCATTTGAAGTCTTTTAAGAGAATATCTCACTAATTCTCGATTTCTTCCTTGGTAGATAATTCGAAGACAAGATGTAAATATAAAGAATAGCAGAAAGTGACAGAGACTATTAGAATCTATAATTAGTTTTCCAAACTTGAATCTCCATAGTAAAAAAAATCTTTTGAAAAAAAAGTGAAATTCACAGCCAAAAAAAACAGATCGTTATCGAGTGGTGAAATTATTTTTCTCACAATGTCCTTTTTGAGTATCAAAAGAACTGAAATACCGACTGCAGCCTTTGTTTTCCAAGAGTATATAGTATTGAACTATGGGTCGATAAAAATAAATAATAAGCATTTTATCTTATTTCTTAACTAAATTTCTCATAGAATAAAAAAATGTACAAATATTTCGACATATGCAAAAGCTCATCTGTAAGAAAAGTCATCCTCCTGATACAGAGTCGGAGCAGAAAGTGTCGATGCATACTTTCCTAAGCTTTCTACTTCTGTTGGATAGATAAAATAGATTTGAATTTCAAACTCATTTGTTGATGAGAGAAACTTTCCATCTTTCACTTCCAAAAGTATTTTATATAGAAATCTGAAAAGACTTCACAAGTCTTACTTATCCTGAAAGAGCAAACTGGTGCTTGTAGTCTTGAAAAATACACTTTTTGGTTAATGAGAGTTTAAGAAATTACGCGAAAAAATATGCTTGTACCAGTCGATATAGGGATCAGACAGTTGGAAATGTTATTTTGTGTGACCATTTTGCATGATTATTTTTTATTTTTATTTGGATATTTCCACATCATTTTTCCCTTTTTAAAAAGACTAGAATAGTTATCTGCATAATCTATTGATCATCGTTTTTTTTTCTCTTGTTATTTGTTAACTAGATTTTGCAAAACTGGCTATGATGACACATTGTCTATATCATCATCACATATGACTGTGTTTCGAGACAATATTCTGAAGAAAGTTTATTTGTTGTTGAGTTAGTAAAATTGATGCTGTTTCTCGAGTATCAGAAAAGAATTAATCGTTTTTCATTTGAGTATAGTCGTTGCCACAGTAGCATTCTTTGCAATTGCTTTACAATACTATCTATTCGAACTGACCGCAAAACGACAAACAGCTCATATACGTATACGGCTTTTTCAAGCAATCATGCAACGAGTATGTAGCAAATACGTATATTCGTTCTCACATGAAATCTCTTTTTTTATAAGAATATTTCATATTTTGATACCAAGCCAACTGGTCAGCTCAATGCCAAACTATTCAAGTAGATCACTCTAATATTTCTATCTTGTTCATTTTGTTTTGGTCTTTAAGTAATGTTGACAAATTGGAATTAGGCATTGGTTATCGTTCATCAATAATGATAACTGTAGCTATCAGTGTTACTGGCAGTATGTTTGTGGCTTTATATATCAGCTGGAAATTGACATTGATCATGTTGTACACTATACCCTTGGTCTACATGGGTACACACATATTCTTCAAGGTATATCTATTCATTTTTCATGAATTTTTATTTCTTTATATCGACCAATAGGTTAGTGCCAAAGAGGCAATAAATGAGCTGAATTCATACTCGAAAGCAGGACAAATCGTTCAGGAAGTGTTTAGTTCACTTCGAACTGTTCTTTCTTTGAACGGTAGTAAGTTCGAAGAAAAACGGTAAGCCGATATATTTTTTTCGACAATTGATTCTGGAATTCGTTGATTCTTACTGTTATTCGTTATCAAACAGATACGAGAAAGAATTGGACAGCACTCATTGGAGTACTATACGCAAAGGTGCCATTTTAGGAACTCTATCTGGTTGGTTATATTTCATCAAATATTTAATTTATTCGTGTTGTTTCCTCGTCGGCTTTTTCATCATGCACAAGCAACAGGATGACAAAACTTATATGAGCGATATTCTTGTGGTAAATCAATGTTGTTTTCATGCGATAGAAGTATTATTTTCTATCATCATATGTAGATAGCTATTATCTTTGGACAATGTATTGCTAACATATCATTTGTCACTCATTTCTTACAATCATATGCAGAAGCACGAGGAACAGCAGCACCAGTGTTTCGACTTATATCTGAGGTAGATTTGAAGCTTCATCAATCGCTTGTGCCAAAGTATGCAATTCTTTCTCTATTTATGTATCATATTCAGACAGAAGGATCAAATGCGATAGAAACCGAACTATGGATGAATGATGTGATACAGAACAAAGTGATTAATATCAATGGGGACATTCATTTTGATAATATCAAC